AATGCAAATATGATCAACTAGAACAAAAATAATTTTATATTTAATTAACAGAACTGGAAATATCAACTACGACAACAACAAGTAAGGCAATATTTGCGTTTTTATTCGCGTATGTACATGAATATTCATACAAATGGATTCGTAAAAGAAGTTTTAGCGATCGATCTGAGATATATCTATAATTGAAATAGGTCCAAGAGAGAAGCAGCGATTTCGGATGATTTTGGCGGCTCAAATTTGATTTTTCGCAGATTCCAAGCAGTTGCTTCCTCCTTGGAAGACTGATAAACAGCTCTTCAGAAACTGAAGCTGATATTCAGCCAAGATGTTTGATAGTTTCGCTATAGGAGACGCTGTCGACTTTCTTCTTATCCTCACTTCTTTCTTCATTCATTTCTTCATTCTTGTCCAGTTTTCATGAGACAGTAGATTCGTCACTAAAGATTTGAAAAAAGACAAAATACAGAATTTATTGTTTTTGGACTATGAAAAGAACGAACGAATCATTGAGTGTTTATTTGGATGGACTCAAATGTAATACCGTTATTGTCTAGTTCAGATAACGAATGAACGAGCGAGTGATTGTAGGTGGAAAGAAGAATGGTTGTTTTGGGGCTAATGTCATTTAATTACGTCATTATCAAAGTGCTTCATTGAAGTATCCACTATTGAGTGAAGTACATGATCAATCGTCTCTTACGTAAATATGCGAATTACCCAACTAAAGTTCTTTTCAACAGAGTTTTATGATTGCGATTTATCCAGAGCATTTTATCAATCATCCGATTAATTCTGCCCAAGAAAAATCTTGCAAATTTGGCTGATTAAGAGTTCATATTCTTTCCTGATCTGATCGAGTGTGAGATAAGAGTCAATTTAGTTCCAATGATAAAAGATTCAAGGCAGTATCGCGAAACCAGAGAAAGATTAAACGATGATAAGAATGTATTAATCGAAAAGAGAGCTACTGCGAATTGGTCAGGATTGTAGAGTGATAGTTTTCTCATGGGAATTGTATAGGCTGTAAGAAAAACTATTTAGCTTCGCGATAAACAAAAGAAAATTCCTCAAAATTGTGGACATTATTCTGTTTGCTCAAGTTGTCTCTGTAAGAGCTGGGGTAACCTTTTTGAAAGTAAACAATACTCAGATAAGACAATTGTTTTTCATAATTACATTGGTGATAATAACAATGTTTGTTTCGTGATAGCTCCATGCAATAGATTTCCGACACAAGTGACCTATTCAACTAGCACTAACCCGGCGTCGGTGGCAGCAGCCGATGTCAATGGAGACAGCAAACTCGATATTATTGTCGCAAACTACGGTTCAAACAACATCGGTGTTTTCCTCAACAAAGGCAATGGTACGTTTGCTGCTCAAGTNCCAATATTACCACTTTCAAATTGTTTTCTACGAGAATCTACCAGGCGTTGTTGACTATCTGTATTTCCAGGCTTCGGATGGAGGTGTTTCAGCCACGATTGGTGTTCAAAGTAAATTTCTCTTCACGTTGATTGACGATTGATTTTTGTATGATGAGTATTGTTTAAACTTTAGGCTCAAGCGCTGGATCCAGCATAACTTATACTGTCAATCAAGCGAACGCGGTGCCTGTTGGGACATCAGCAACGACTTCTCCAACACTGATATTGTCGTTCGATACCAATACCAGCACAATGACGCAGACTGTAGGATGAATGGAACTCAAAAACAGTATCCATAAACTTAATACTATTTTCATTTTTTTTTCATGATTAGATCGCATGTGCATACTACTTGTGTAATGCACTTCGCAAAAAAAGACGTAGAATAGTAGAGTAGAGGTGAGGTGATTTCTCTCAACAATCACACTTTCATACTTCACACTTGTACTCGTATCCGCTCCACCCAAAAAAGCCCTCTAAACACTTGAAGATGACGAAGAAATTCAGTAAGTCAATCATTAATTTTGTACTATTCGCTCGTTTTTTTCTCTTGGATTCATCATGAAAGAAATGAAGAAGCTTTATCGGCTGACACAGAGCGGTAATTTTCATTTTACGATTATGAAAGTTGTACGTGAAGAAAAGTAAACAAAATAATAGATTAACTTGTATCAAAACCACTTGTCCAATCACACAATCATAAGCTGTAGAAGTCATGAAAAGAAAATATGCAAATGTTTGCAGTAATTTTGACTGAGCGCAGACATATACCGGTTAAATGTTTTCTTAACAGACAGAAATAAAAAGTCTTGATGGCATGCTCTGTAGCAATGAACTATACTCAACTAAGACGAAGTGATAAGAACGTTTCTTGGTTTTATTTTTTTCAATCGTCAGTTGTTCTATTTAACAATGAGGAAAGAAAAGGCAAACAATTATCCGAGAAAATACTCTATTGAAAATATCTGTACTCGCTTAACCTTTAATCAAATATAGACGGTGACTTTCAATGGCTCTCACGTGATCGATACCCTATGGAGGGCATGAGCTTCGCTAGGAAATGTGAGCTATGGAAGTGTGTCTGCACCTCAATCACATCCACATTCCAAAGAATCAATGATTTCTATTAATATGAATGAATATGCAGAATATCATTCAATTAGATGATTGATTAGTACGCCAAGAAGTGAAAACTATTATTTATATTTCTCTTTTGTTCATCTCAATAATTTATTGATTAGATCTACATCTAAATTGTGGACATTTGTTTCGATCAGCTAAGAAAAAGATGTCTGGAAGGTAGAATCGAATGGAGAGACAACAAGGACTGCATTTTATATGAAGAAAAAATGCAAAAAAACCATTAACGAAAAACAATTTAATACCTAATTTTGTGGAGATTCATAATCAAGATCACCCTTGTCAGTTGTACCGAATACCTTGATATATTGATAGCAAAGAGAGCGCAATCTCTTTTGATAAACACTAAGATTCAAGACACCATCCAAATATTATTGTTGTGCTTTACTCAAAATGTTTTCATTGGTCGCTGATGTGACTCTTCTACGACATGTATAATGCTGTTGAACTTGTTCTAGCTCCATCTGAACCATTGTTGATTCTTCTGACTTCTAAATATATATCTTATTCAGGCCCACAAATTTGGATAGTTCGACAGTGTGAATTTAATTGACCGCAATAATCTTCAACCTAATTGTTAGCTTTTGCTCGAATTCCCACGAGAACAAATAAATTCCAAAATGATAATTTTGAACATGATTCCATTATTACCAGATTGTGTGATAATTGTAGAAAAGCTATCATTGTTCACGAAGAACATTTTTATTTAGTTTCTCTAACTTGATTTCTGTTACTTTAAATACTTTCGCCTACATAAACGTTAAAAAATGACCTGGACGATACGCGACATTCAATACTAGACTAGCTCGAAGGATGTGATATTCACTCTTAAATCGAACTACTTACACTGATCATCCTTGAGTGTGGGTATGGGTCTTTTCTTCGCCCACACCCACCCTTGGGTTTTTTAGTTAACAGGAACCCCATTTTTAAAGAGTTAACATAATTTATTTTTGACTCTTATACTCTCTTTTAATATATATATCTAAATCTTGATTTTCGTCAAGGTAGAAGAAAGACAAAAACATTAATTTTCTAAAAATCTACGTAAATTTTGTTTTTAGGAGTGAAAACAGAAGGCAAAAAGCAAATAAACAGGATTTGGAAGAAAGCACACTTATTATCAATCTGTCGTTTTTTCACACTAGAACATAAAAGCATTTCTTCAAATATTTAGAATAAAGAAAATACGCTCCAACAAAAATCAAAATGCGCTTGAAAGCCCTATTAGTGTCTGCAATTTTATGTGCACTGGTCCCTACTGCTAATGTTAGGCTTATGTCTTTATATTGGAATTCTACTTACACCTTCAAATCTAAAACAAAATTTATACTTCTTTGTTTGCAGCTCACATGGCAGCTTGGTCCAAAGGCATGTACTGTATGAAGGTACGTAAAGAAAAAAGTCACTAAAACACCGTATTTTACGGTTAATGCTTTTTATCCTGTTCGCAGTGTGATGCTTAGTATTGTTTTGTCAACCTTATGTTCCTTTTAGGGACGTGGAGGTGAAAACAACATGAACAACAACTTACCTGTAAACCCTATGATTGACCTTACTCAGAAGGACTGGTGGTTTCAACATTATCAAGGCTGTGACAAAGAACCGCCAGCCGAGGGTAACTATCTTGAACTGCCGGCAGGAGGCTCATTCACTGTTGAAATTGCTACTAATCGTGCTTTCACAACTTTTGGTCACAACAGAAATTTCAACGGATATTTTGGTGGTCCACAAGAGCTCGAATATACCCCTTGGGGCTGTGTTTCCTATCCTAATTTGCACACACCAAATCAAACTTTAGCACCGGGAACAGTTTTTGCCATCTCATATCAGAATAGCATCGATAAAGTTACACCGGAAAATTTGGTTGTCTTCACTGTAAGATATAAAACTCCCTGGCAAAGAGTAACGTCGTACGATGTGCCAAAAGATTTACCTCCCTGTCCTCCAGGCGGTTGTACATGTGCATGGGGGTGAGTAAATTTTTTCATGGTTTATAATTCTTCGAAATTCTTTTTCTCTGACGTTAGATGGATCCCTATGGGCTGTGGACAACCAAACATGTATATGCAAGGTCATAAATGTATTGTCACTGGCTCAACTTCCACAAAAAAGCTTGCTGCAGCTAAACCTCCAGTTTATTGTGAAAATGATCGTTCGAAATGTGTACAAGGAGCAAATCAAATGATCTTCTATTTTCAAAAAGATGGTAACAATGTCTTTAATGTTCCAAAAATGCCAACGTACAACGAAGTCATGGGCTTTTCAGAAGGCGCACAGAATGATATTTTTGAAGACTCTAATTTAGGGTCGATTGTGGGCTAAATCTGGCGTTTTCTGTAAATCAATAAAAAAAGCCAGTAGCAAAACGGGCTGACGAAAAAAGAAAAAAACATGTATGGATGATAGGACTAACAGAAAGTGAACCAAGATAAGGCAGGTGTCACTTAAAAAATAAACTTTGGGTACATATCCACATTCAGTTCTATTTTCCAGTTTTGAAAGGGAAAAATTCAAAGTTCGCTAAAAAAATGACATTGTTTTTGATCCAGAACAAAAAGCCCCAAGTTAAGTTCTTTACTATGGTTCATCTTCGCACTGCAATAAGAAAGACCTTGCGGTATCGGGTGAAGATCAAAAGTACACTAAGCAGTAAAAGTAGAAACACAAAAGACAAAAAAGGGTGTGAGTGTGGGTATGGGTATGAGTGTCGGATGTGGATTTAAAAGGGTGGGTGTGTATGGATACCTGTATTTCATTTCCGCTCACATCTACACTCACACCATCATTCAGCCGCACCCACTCACACTCCATATCCGCACGCAAACTCCACACCCACACCCTATTCACATCCTGGCGAGGGCACTGCGCGTTTACTATCAAACGGCTTGAAACCTAACCGTATGACTGCGTTGATTTTATAGACATATTGCAAGAAAATAGCGCTCGTCAAAATCTGAATATGACTGGTAATAAAGAAAAAGTGTCCTTTTTCAGATGGTACGATTAAAATATGGCATTTTGAGCAACGCTAAGGTGATCTAAATATCAAGAAATAATTCTCTTTCAATATATGTTTTTCTTCAATCAATACAAAGCCAACGGATTCAACTTCATTCATGACAATCTCTTTACCACATCGTAGATGCTCCATCAACCGATCACTAGTCACACCAGGCACACGTTCATAGTCAACAATAACAAATAGTCCGTTTGGTATAAGAGTAGTACGAATTGATTTTAATATTTCTATTGGATATTCAAAGTGATGATACGTATCAATGCAATATACCATATCGATTTTATGTGCCTGTATGATTGGATGAGTAAGTGTGTGCGGTAATGATTGTATTATATGAATATGTGCTCTCTTATCGGTATTGTTTAGTTTATTCAATCGTTCAACCATATACTGACAGAATTTATCGGATGTTTCTGCGCATATCAATGTACCATTAGGTCCAAGCCGTTCAGATACTAATTCCATAAATAAACCTGAACCTGCACCTAAATCAACGACTGCTTGACCTTCAATCAATGGTAATTCACTGCATAGTCGATTACGTGCAACAAATAATTCACGACTTTCAGTTTCAAATCTGCTTATGTCTACGGTGGCTGGTATGGTTGAATCATTGAATAATGCATTGATACTTGGATTGACAGATATAAGCTTCGACAGTTCTGATGATGATGTCATCATGATCTCCAAATTTGATGCAAAAAAACCGCTCGTTTTCGATTAGAAACTGCAACATAATATGAAGAGCCATTAGCTGAGAGAAACCGAAAGTTATCCTGTGGATGTCACAGATTAAGATGACATTCATGTCAGCTGTAGGCCTATATGTAATTAGATAACGGTATGAACTGTGTCACGTAAAACTGCTTCATTCTCGAGATATAGAGAGCACAAGAGATGGTACTACGGATGGATCATTCCCATTAAGTGTAGAATTAAGTTTTTTTTACTGATGAGTTACTGCACAAGAATCACGATCGAACTTGCACAATCGACGCTCTAAATTCGTTGCAAACTTAGCATATTTTGTAGTCGATCGTCTTTTAGGTAGATAACCAAAATTTTAGATATATGGTTGCCTTTCTTACAGAACAGTCAGCATTTTTCAGAGAACCCTCTTAGCTGACTGTGAATATTGTTTTTTGAGAAAAAGATTTGATTTCTTCAAAACAACTAAGTACTTATAGACGACTGAAAATTTTATCGTATAGAAATCTCAACATACTCTATTTAACTGTGTATTGAGCGTTGACCCGTCTCTAATTTTGAAGAATTTGTCACATCTGCAACCTGAGAATAATTACCTAGGCTAAGTGGGCACCATATNGATGTATTTTGTTTTGTTTTTTAAATAAAAGATATGAAGTGATCAAAAGATGAATAAGTCCATCTTGTGCCGAAAAAAATATCGTTTTCACACGGTCGAAATTTGATTGCTTGAAGTTTTGACGATTTTGAAAAGAAAAAGGACAACTGTAAAAAAAGCGGCCTTATGCAAATTGTAGAGCTTTTCACGCTGCATCTTTTAGTATATTATATGAAAAAAAAGTTCTTAGAAATTTTTCTATTAATATAGATAAGAAAATGTCGCGAACTTTTTTTTCCCATACCTTATGTTTCTTTTTCAATTGGATTTTTCGCCACTCTATATTATCTTATATTTATATTCTGTAATTTATTAAGGTTCGAGGTGAAGATGATATATTATATACAATTCAAATGATTAGCATTGATAAATCAAATACTTCTCAGCCACGTAATAGTTTATCACCACGTAGATCATCAATATCAATGATATCAAATAATAAAGGAAGAAAAAGTAGTGCATTTCGAACATCTATATCGAAAATACGAAATAGTATTGATATACAATTACAATCATTAACAACTCAAAATCCACGTACTAGTTTCAAATTAACTAATGAACAGTATATTAATGAAAAAATACCTTTTTCGGAATCAGATTTAATTCATTGAACTGCAAAACTTGACTAATAATTATTATTTTACCGTACAATGAAAAAGTGTATGTACAAGGACATCAAACATATTTGAATGATCTCATCAACAAGCAAAATAAATTTAAAACATTAGCTGCTTATGATATGTAAGGTGTGAAATATTTCGAATTTGAAAGTATTCATAGTGCATGGTGTATGCCAAAGATTCAAAAGATGATTATAAAGTTTTAACCCACAAACGGAATTTAAGTAGGTTAGATAGAGAAAGACTTCATCTGTCTAATGATGTATGTATTATCAAATTTGATTTTGTAGGTCCTTCTAAATCTGAGGAAGAACCATTTTCCTCTACTAGCTTATGTAGATCTCGTTTTGAGGTTAAAAATCACGGTGACACTTATATTCGCATTTCAATACGACTTATTTTTCTTTTTTTTTGTCATGATTGAATAGAGCTCGTCAAGTTTCAGATACAAACAGAAAATTTTAAGAGAACAGTTCACGAGACCATTATTTTCAAATATAAAGAGTACCCTATGAGTTCTGGACCTAAACGAAAATCATAGACAATTATATTTATATAAGTATCGAGCACTTAGGACAATGTTTTAAATGTATCGCTTTGTATAATTGTGTTATGTTATATACGATGAATTTATAGTTGATTAAAACTCCTTAAAAACAAGATATTGGCCGATTTTGAGATTTTAATCATCATGTTCTATTATCAAAAGAGATAATGTCATTAGATAATATGCCATTTAAAACACCGTTCTATGTGCTCAAAATTCACGTAGATATATTTGGGTAGGGATCAGTTCATAAAATTTCTTTTTCTTATATAATTCGACGAGCGTGCTCAATCCACGACAAACAGAGAAAAATAAAAACTATTAAAATTTCAAACCCTTGGCATATTACATATACTATAAATATCTTAAAAATTCGTTAGATTACCGGTGAGGCCATCCGAATATGTTCAATGTCCTCATACACTCCTTCTATTGTTAATTACTTTTTTTTGTCAATAAAAATATAATTTTTTTATGTCAACACAATCATATTTTTTTCTTTTTACATCAATTTTTATTCACAAAAAAAAACATATAAAGTATAGAGATTAACACACATAAAGAAACCTGCATAACAAAAATAGATTGTCAATTTTTAATTTTTCTATATCTTCTATTTGAATAAAAATTTTAATTTTATTAAATATCGTATTCGAACTTGTTTTGTATCATAGACAATATATTCATTATAATTAAGTGTATACCCTTTTGGATTAACTACATCAGTTGATTCAGCAGGACCCATAGGAACAACAACATCATCCTCTCTATTTTACAAAAAACAAAGTCACATGTTTACTTTTTCTATAAAAATAAACAATAGTATTAAACTTACAATGTAATTGCATTTTTTAAATTAGGTGCTATTGAACCAAGACCTTTAACACTTAATAAACCTTCAGGTAATCGATGAGCATTATTATCAGCATTAAGTAATTCATGACATTTACCAAGTGCAACCTAATTTCAATAATCAAGATATTGTTGTTTGAAAAAGAAAAAGAAACTTACTTCAGTAAGAAGAACAAGACCAGTGTTTTTACTTGGTGTTGGATAACAATAATTAGCACTTTTACTACTCATATCAGCAAAATATAAACCTTTTCCAAACATATAACCAGTCTAAAAAGAAATTGTTTTCTAATATATTTATATACAAAATACGAAAAAATTTAGAATACAAATCAACAGTGATGTGTAATTAACCGTCTATTCTCAACTTAGGCTATTTTTGACTTATTCATAGTGAGTAACATAAAGAATGGTTTTATTTTCGAGATGAATTACTAAATAACACGATCTTCATGCTCTAAATTTTATTAGAACTAATAAAAAGTCAAAAAGCATTCCACAGCGATTTTTCAATAACTTCTTATCGATAAACGTTTTGTTGGGGCTTCCATACGAACAAGACCCTTAATCGTAAGAATGGGTGATTTCATATTATAAAAAGAAAATGAGAACTAATGATTTTGACACGAACCTGAAAAGGAAGGACTTACTAGTGGATAAGGATAACAGATTAAAAACAAAAGTGAATATTCATTATTCTATAGAAACGTTTCTGAATTGAATAAATATAGAAATAGAGTTTTGTAGTAGAAACTATCGAACACAGAAATATTCTTGGCAATAACAAAGTTTCTGTACATTCGATGCTCAAGCAAAATTTATCCCTTTTTGAAATAGATAAATATCATAGGATAATCTTTAAGGCTAATGCAATCATAGGTCTCGATATGGGAATGATGACAGACTGGCTATGTTTTTCGACATGCATCTATAAGATTCTACTCAAACCTCGAATGTGAGATGATCCTGGGCAAGTCACTGACAGCTGTTTGTCTCGCATAACTTTTCCAATAGCATGCTGACTACATTGTCGCATAGGAAGATCAGAATTCCTCTTTCAACACGATAACATACTACTTAGAATTTACACGTAATAAAAAATTATCAACATGGATAAAGCAACATTCATTAGCTAAAATCGGATCAATAGGACATCACTTAGTAGTCTTCTCGAACACTCCTCTTTCGATATTTGCACTTATTGCATACAATAGTTATTACAAAATAAGACACCATTTCCAATAGGGTCAAATCCGATGTCCTGTATGACATTCGGCCATGGTCGAAAATTTGTACAACCCATGACATACATTTACTCTTGTGGTTAGTTATCAGGTCTTGAAGATAATTAGAGATCGTTGGTTGTTTACATTTTCAACATATTAATGTTCATATGTTATAATTAATTTTACTTACTACAGGTGCTTCAGGTGGTGCAATACGTAAACCTTGACTCATAATACCCGCAAAATTAGTTATACGTGAACCATGCCTAATAGAGATATAAAATATTATTTAATATTTAGAAAAAGCTTTTTTTCTATACCAAAGAAGCATTTTATTTCCAACATCTTTAAATACTTTATTTTCATTTTCTCTTTCAACTTTAAATATATGTTCTATTTCCATTTTATATTGTTGATGTGTTGATGCATGTGTTGATTGAAGATATTTATCAATTAATATATAAATATCTTCATGTTTTTCAACAGGATATAATTTACATTTTAATTGTTCATAATGTTGATCAATTGGATTCAAACGTGTATTTGTATCTGTATTTAATGTTGTAAATGCTATTTCAATATCATCAAGTGCTTCAAGTAATTCAATTTCATGTTTTAATTGTTGAATAGTTTCTATTAATGGTGGAGTACTACGACCAAATTCATGTGGAACTAAATGAAAAAAATCACAGAAAAAAAAAGTTATTTAAGAAAAAAATGTTATAGATATACTTCGAGTATAGTAAGTATTATTTGCTTCAATAAATGCCGAATTAAATTTATTTGTTTTGATATATGTTTCAATTTCTTTTAATGCTGTATATCCTGCTTTAATTTGCATTGAACTTAATTTACCTATGAAGAAAAAATAAAATTAATAAGAAAAAACAAAATCATTTCTTTTTACCAAGAGGGTTTTTTCTTGCATCAAATTTCATTTCAAGTAATGCTTCTTCCATAGCTTGTATATTACATATTAATTGAATAAGATTTTGTATACGTTTATCAAGTTTTGATTCTGGTACAGGTAGACTTTTTAATTGTTCAATAGCTACAAGTCGTTTTTTATTATTTTCATCAACTTTTTCAGATGTCTACATCGATAATAAAAATAATAATTATCATAAAATTAAATTAACAAGGGAATAGTATCCAACTGTTGAATGCCGTTCGACTTCATTTCTATCTACTGCACCATTGTGTTATCGAAAACGATAAATGATTGATCAGATGAACATTTGATTACGAAATATAGATGTGACATCTACACTTGTGATAACAACACAACTCTTACATTTCGATTGAAAGTCCTAAAACGTTTCGGCCGCATGCAATACACAACTGGAGTTACGACCGTTTTAGTAAACTTTCAGTCTATGGCGTCAGTCATTCAAGGAAAACTTAATTACAAGATTTTCATCTAAAATTTTGCTCATAGATAGGTCTCATAGTCATTGCAGAGACATTACAAAGCAAGGCATGTCTATGAACAAGATTTTAGATGAAAATCTTGTCGTTTTAGTTGAGTAACGCATGGACTCGAACGACATCCGACAGTTGAATATGTTCTCTTGCAATTGTAATAATCTTACTGATGGATTATAATCAAGTTTAACATAATCATATTTTCCAGGATATTTTGTAAATGTATCACGATAATAAAAATCATTTTTTGTTTTGTCACTAAATCTAATGTATACAAAGAAAATTAGTTTCTGCATTAAAACTTAACTTTTTAAATAAGAATAAAGTCTTTTTCAATTAACGACGGCAATATTTTACTCATAAAGTTAGTTATTAATTATAGATAACTATCTATGATAAAACTTAGTCGGATTTTAATTAAAGCTTCTCTAACTTCCTTCTCATTTCTACGTAGAATTTAACGATAGAGTGCTGCACGGGTGCACTTTTTTCCACCCGAAACCGAACCGGAGCTTTTTTTCCGTACCCGAGTCCGAACTGACCCGACAACTCCGTACCCGAACCCAAACCGGACCCGAATAACTCCACCCGGTACCCGACCGGCAGCCGTTTATAAGTATAACCCACCCGGCTACCATTATCACGTATAATCAATTTCAAACTTTATTTCATATGAAATATTATACAATCTACTTAAATAAATAAACAACAAAAACAGTCATCTGAAATTACGTAAAAAAATGTGGAAACCTCGGATTTAAATCCGGGTGTTATGGGTACTTCAAAAAGTAAAAACACAGAAGCAATTTCCGTTTAAGTATCTTTGCAATAGGTGACTTAGCCATCTTNCAATATAATATGACTATCCTTCGTCCTTAATGTCAATCAAATTCGAATTAATATTTTGCGTATCGTTGTCTTTTGCAAGCGTCAGTATAATAGACTCGAAAACACTCTTGATAGTTCATTCCTTAAGAAATTTTTTGTCTGCCCTCCCGACAGCTGAGTTTGCCCCCTCGGAGTGAAAAACCTAGATAAAACACTGCCACGGTGGACTCAAAAAAGTGCTACACCAAGGAATTTCAGGATTTTAATGTAAATCGAGTTCACTGTCGTATTTAGCACATCAATTAACCTATGTACACAATTCTCTAGCATGTCAGCTATTTTCGATATGTTGAATCAGACATCTATCTCTGTAATTAACAGTATAGATGATGTAACCTGATCGAAACGCATAAAGAAGTCTACAAAATAGTTATATTAATATTTAAAGAAGATTATGTTTTTTTGGTAAACACAATGATGAACTCAAGTTCAATGTAAAAACTTGACACTCTAGAAAGTGTTTCCACATAACTCTCAAATTTCTTGCAGCACAAATATTTCAAAGAAAACAAGGGTAAAAAAAATTTTCATCAAGGACGTTAGCAGCTGTACAAAAATCAACCTGTGTAATACCATCAAGCATCATGTCTTACCGCAACCTAACAAACAGTAGAATTTATTTTATTGAATGGAAAAAAAACACGAAGAAAAATGATATCTTTTTTTTTTTTTTTTTATAGATTATGATTCCGATTTTGAAGAATCTTCTTCTTCTTCTGATGATGATGATGATCATCATCATCAATTATTAAATCGTGTTTGTAAGTTAATATGTTTATAATATGAATCATAATGCTATAAACAACAAAATTTTATTTTAAGCTCTATCTTTCGATGATATTCCATCAATAGTTGAATTAGTAAGTTATAAATAATGACGAAAACAATAATCATAGATTAATCTTTAGTCTATAATGCATAAGAAAAACAATGATAAAAAAAATAAATCTCAAGAACAAACCTCTTCTGAATCACCATCGGTGGGTAGGTAAGATAAAAAAAGAAGTTTTTTTTTTTTTTTTTTTTTCTTTTCACTAACGACAACTATGTTGTGCAGAAGAAGGCAACTTAGCAACTTCTATAAAAAGAAAAGAGTAGAACAAGAAAAAAAAAGAAGAATAAGACAAGTATTCTTAAAGTAATATAATGGTGAATTTTTGTGCACATACTGTTTTTTTATTGATTGTTAGTTGAAAAAATATATTACACGCGTGTCTTTTTCTTCTTATCTCATATTTAACAAAAAATGAGTCGTCGAGATATATCAAAAAATCCTATACCAACTCATTATAATGTGCCAAGACCAGGAGACAATCGATCGGGTAATAGTTTTGCCTGTTCCTTTTTTTTCTTTTTTGTTCATAAAAGGTTTCTTTTGATTTTTGATGAATAAATATGTCAACAGTATTATTCCATTAAAAACGACAATAACACATAACCGTTATGTTTTTATTAAACATTTTCGGAAAGTAAAATAATGTATAATTAATTATTTTAACATTATTCTTTTCTTTTTACATTAGTAAAATTCTTTAAGAAAAAAAGAAAAACAGGATGTCTTGAAAGAGAAGAAAAAACTAATTTTGCTTTTTTTTAAAACTGCATATAAATGTTTTTTTTTCATAGATCATTGGAGAAAAGAAATACTTGATGTTGTAATTACTTACTTTTTTTTAAATTGTTAGTATTTATTTGAATAGGAGCACGACTTGTCGGAGGCGATCCAATCAAGAATAGTAATAATTATTTAAATAATCAACAATTACTTGTCGTTGGAACAAAATCAAAAGCAAGAGTAATTGATAGTCTTGATCTTGAAAATTTTTTACATCCAAAGTATGATTTTGAAATGGATATTAGTGAGATTTATTTTGTTCTTTTAATAGAGAAGTTCATATTGATGCAGAAACTGATGATCGAAGATCACCAAGACTTCAACAGACGCCAAATCGTCGAAGTCCATTTCGTGATCCACGTTCCAACGGTAAAATACCGTTAATGAGAAATTCGAGGAATATCTTTTATTTGTCATAGTTAAATAGATCTCGTTGAATTATCTTTAAAAATATTGTTTTTGATAATGTTTTTTTTTTGTAGTGAAAAATAGGTTACAGAAAAGCCTATGAAAACTGAAAAACATCAAAAGCATATTATCTTTTTGGTTGTATTCGTTATAATATTAGGAATAAAATTATGAATGCTTCTCGAAAAAATATGAATTGCTGAGAAAATTGTTTTGTTTTTTGATATGAGAGTCAAAAACCATAAATATAATTCATATTTAGAGATTTTGATCATTAGAACTTCAGTTCCAAAGGAAACGAACATCATATTCAGAATTGGCTACAAAAATTGCATCGAATAGTAAAATCAATATTTAAAACAAATTTTCGTCATTTGTAACCTAATTTTCACTCGAAAAAAAAGAAATAATACTAACTCGATGAGATCTGTCCATCTATGGCAAAAAAAAAAAGAATTTTGTTCAAATAATCAGTTTCTGCAATAAACCTTATTATGTCGTAAAAACTAGACCGTAGCACACCAAATACAGATTGGCTTGAAAACTCCATTGTTCAAATTGATCTCTTCAGTCGACGGCATCGTGGAATGCTTGAAAGTATTTATTAAAAAAAAAACAATAATCTTTCCAATTGAAGAATAACTCTTTTTTCTTTCATCAGCTGAACCCCTAGAAGAATATTTTACCAATAGTACATCAAAATACGAAAATGACAATGACGAAGAACAGTAAAATCATATCTTTTTTTTTCTATCATTTATTGAATAACAATAATCCAATTCTTCTAGATTTACAATACCTGAATTACCTAGTGGTGAACAATTAGTTTTAAATTTAAAAACAACATGGGGTGATCGTCATTATATTGGTTTAAATGGTATTGAAATATTTTCTAGTCAAGGTTATCCAGTTCCTATTCGAAAAGTATGAAATCAAATATATCCTTTGTTTGTTTTCTAAAATCGATTAAAAATAATAATAAAAGAAAAAGGAAACAGATCAAATCATTTCATTTATAGATAACAGCAGATCCAGCTGATATAAATGTTTTACCTGAATATGGTAATGATCCACGTGTTGTAAAAAATCTAATTGATGGAGTTAATAAAACTCGTGACGATGTTCATATGTGGCTTGCACCATTTACAGCTGGTCAAAATCATTTAATTTATATTACTTTTGAACATTCAATAAAAATTGCTATGATTAGAATATGGGTAAGATTTTAATTGAATTACTAAACATGAGTCTCGATTTAGAAAATAAAAAATTTATTGAAATAGATTATTAACTGAAAAGAGAAAGTAATGGAAATGATTTCTTGATTTTAAACTCTCCTAAATAGAGTTCGATAAAATTAAGATAAGCTTGAAATGTTTCATTATATTATCGACGCCATAGCATATTATTATCGAAAAATTCAGATAAATTAATTTACACTTGCCATTTCATTTGTGAATAAATATCAGTTTTTTGACAGCTTCAAAAGAAATAAATGTGTCTTTCTTATGATTGTGCAATTACAAAAAAAAATAATTGTTACAGACATGACAAAGTGCGCAAATCTAATTATAGATTTAATATCTTGAAAAAGATACGTTCATCTCTAATGAATATTTCAAGAAAATCTATTCAAAAATAAATTAATTAACACGCACAATCTCAAGTCAAATTTCATTCATTTCTAAACCATAGATTATCATCATCATTAACCGATTTAGGCTTTTCTTAATCTAGCAGAGTTCTAATTATGAATAAAATATCAGGTCAAAAGAAAAAAAAACGAAGGGTCATTTAACATTCAAGTAATGTAAATCATTATAGATAATCATACACTAATTTCATCATATTATTACAATCAGATCTTGCTAGAATGGAAACAAGTAAAGTTAATATTTTTCTTTGTACTCACTTTCTCACACTAATACTCTTGTGCAAGGTCCTCTTCAAAAATTTTGCATGGAGCAATGACGAACTGCTATAGAATTTTTATTTAATACTTAAACAAAATTTCTTGAAATCACTATTTCTGACTCCCTTTGATAGTCACACTTATTGATCAGATTGACATATTGAAACTTGATACGACATACCAATTGATCCCTAAGGTTTCTGTTACTATAATTGCAAAACTAAAATCATAATTCAAATAACTATATTGATGATCAATATCAGAGTTTCTAATGGATTCGATCGAGTCTACAAAAGTCGATCCATGAGTTACCAATTTAAATCTATCCCACGCCCAGTGGCGTACGCAGAAATTTTTCAAGGGGGGGCCCGCCATGGCACAAAAAATTTTTTATCACGCGAAAATATTTCTTCCTGTACCCCCATCCAGGACTTTTTCGTCTCAAGGGGGGGGGG